ATTCACACAATTTTGGGTAAACAATAATTGCACCCCCTTTGTACAAAGTATTGTTTCATATGAGATATACTTATATTTATAATTATATTATTTGCTATATTTTTATATAAGTATAACTTCTTACTTGGGTACCCAAGCACCCACTGTCCACTGGTTTTGTTTTAAATAGAGCTAATCGGGTTTTCCCGGAAGCTACAGGTATGTAGTATAAAAGAAAATGCTTCACATCGACAAAGAAACTTTCTTATTACTTACGAGGCAGAAAGTTAGGATTTATGTAAGCATTAACGCTCTATATCATAGACGTGTTTAAATCATGAGTTGCTTAAAAACAAATTCCGTTGTTTAAAAACAAATACAGTTGCCGTACAGTAACAATTATAGTGAATTTAGGATAAATCTTACAGTAACCATAAAAATTACCGCAACCTACTGTAAACATTCATGTACCACTGCGGTAAGAATTTACGTAATGACAGATTATCACAGGATTACCGTTGCTTTTACGGTAAACATTCCTGAGATTCTTTTCTGCGTGTAAGTCATTCAACGGGATTGTTACGTTGCAGCCTAGTTATTAAAACATATCATCAAGTTACATCTTGGTCATTACGTCGAATTGATTTCTCATGGCAGCTGTAAAAAAGAAAAACATAACGTACTCGCGCTTTCAGAGTTTCAGTGTCAGTCTCTCTTGTACATCAAAAGCTCACCTATAGTGTAAGAGAGATAAACGTCAAGGCTTGGTTATTTCTTAAAGGTTAAAAGAGTCTCAAATAAGTTTTTTTGTAAGATTAGGCCGTCGTGCGGTAAATTCCGTCGAGGCTTAAGAGAGTCTAGGAAGGGGGCATGGTCATGACATTGACCTCGATATTGACGTGCGATTGATTACGCATCACTACGAAATCAGCGATCGTGATTACGTAGATGAGGGATGAGGATGGGGAGGACGGGGGCTGAAGTGTACTGAGAGATCGAAAAAGGTGAAAAAGGCAGTTTTTATATTCGGTTGGAAAGGAGCCACCAATTGCACATATATATACGAGCGAACGTCCTAAAGTTACTCGTTGAGCGGAATCGGGGCCACCCTTTGGGACGTTCGCTCGTGGCTGCTCTCTTGGTGTCACTCGTATTTCCATCGCGCTGTTTTGTATTCGATCGCTTGGTGCTTTAGCTCTTATGGCTCCTTTCTCTCTCACTCCGGCTTTCCGCCTGTTTGTCACGTCAGCGGTAAATATTTACACTAATCAGAAATCTTTTTGCTAGTTACAATTATTTTTTGATTATTATTTAAAATTAGTTACAATTTTATTCCATTGTGAGGATTTTGAAACTTTCTCCTTGGCCTGCGGTTTCCGAAGTTATTCAATCAAAATTAAATTAAGCAATATAGCGTACATCTAAATTAATAAGTTGTATGTGACGCAGTGATATGAGAATTCTGCTGTGACTTTAGCGGGTTCATTAGATGCGTGTTAATCAATTGATTTGCACGGGATTCGATCGTTGTAAATATAAAATTAATCTATTCTGTAATTAGATAAGATTTTTATTAATGCCTTAAAGGTGAGAAATAAATAATTTGCCAAGAGAATACGGCATATTGATTTGTTTAATTTTAGTTTCTATGATCTTGATTTTCTTTTTGATATCTGCGACGTAATGAGAGTAAGTTGACTCAAAGTGCTTTATTTCATAATTAGATAACCTTTTTGTTAATTGTGAGAAATAAATGATTAGCAAGAGAATACGGCAAATTAATTTATTTAATTTTAGTTATCTATGATCTCGACTCAATTTTAAAAAGTTGTATTGTATGGCTATTCAAAATAGTCGATTCTAATATAATCTATCGTTTGATTTACGCACACATGAGTGCGTTGTTTTTATGCATACCACGTAAGCTTCCAAGTCGTTGAGGCAACGACACTCGTCAATTAAGGTGATTCGGAGAAGTATGATCGTATTTTTGTTTTGGGATTATCTGTTACGCTCATGGCTTAAACTTTAAACGATTATCATTTGAAATATCTACATGGGAGATTCTCGCATGCGTCGGATAACGTTCTACATGTATCGTAGTAAAGAAAAGAGGGAAGATTGTTGTATTACATTAAGATCCTACCTTGTCAAAGGTTATTGAATAAAATGGTGGTGATTACATATGTTTGGCTATATTTTGTGTCAAGTCATTATTGTCACCTGCAATGGTTCCAATAGAAGCTAATAAAAAAATCTCTCTATTGGTTTCGAATAGGCTTTCGTACCCGTTAAGCCAGATAAAAAACGATAAAATTAAAAAATAAATTTTCAATTTTTTTATGATAACCAAGACATGATTGAACATAAGTAAAACTACATAATCACATTCTAACATCCAGACGACAACACCAAAACGGTGGGACTGAAGTATTGTACATGTAAATTAAAAAATGTGAGCTAAAAATTTTTATTAAAACTTTGTAGAAAACACTTTAGTCCCTCCATTTTAGTGTTGTTATCTGGATGGTACTGTTGTATTTTTATTCAATGATGTCCTCGTTACAAAAAAAAACCAAACCGTTATTTTTGAATTTTATCGATTTTTATCTAGCATTATGGTTGTAAAAACCTATTAGAAACGAATAAAAATTTTTTTTATTGTTTTCTATTAGGTATGAAAGATTTATATAGATCTTATAAATCAAATTTTAAGTGATTTTTCCATAAGGTTACATTTAAAATTTAAAATTCTTTACTTGACAGTTTAACGATCTGCGATAAGATAAGGGTATTTTTTACTTCTTAGGCAGATTTTGTAAAACCATCAGAAGATTCGATAAAAGAGCATAGTCTTGTACGGGCCAGCTGCCATATTGTTTATATTGTATCGTGCCATTCAATTTTGTTTAAAATTATTCTGTTATTAGATATTAAAATAATTATTGAAACCACACCCAACTAATGTAGGTATACTCATTCAAACAATAATTGCACCACCTTTGTACACAATATCATTTTATAGAAGGTATATTTNTAAATGTAAAGTGAAAGTTATAAAATTGATAAGTGTTACTTTTAGATGATAAAGCAAAGATAAAGTTATTATAACTAAAGGTTTAGCTAAAAATTCAAAGTCAAATATTTTAAATAAAATTACTATACTTTATAAATCTTGCTTACTTCACGATTTCTGTAGTTTTTGTAGGTTATAAACAAGAATTTATGGTAGTAATTAGTTGGTTCTTCAATGGATGTAAATTATAAATAATCAGCTCATCTTTAATAACAGATAATCGAAGAATAATTAGGGTGTACATACTAAAAGCTTGATTCTGTACTTTACAGCTAGAGTTAACTAACATCAACAATTGTATAAATAGCTATTTTGTACCTCGGACGATTTTGAGGGTCGGATGTGTCCTCACTAAGAAAAATAGGGTTCGCACCTGGTGCGCATCGTGCCACGGCAAACACAAGACGTTCCTCGAGCCCTGCTTTGCAGGTCCCCCCGTACTTGCTCTGGCGACATGCACCACCAGTTACAAAAACTACTATTATTCAATCTAATCAATATTTACATATTTACTGACAAGTCTAAGGACTAAACAAAGTGTGACAGGAGAAACTGTCATGAATCATCGAGTTAATGACCTAAACGCAACTCGAATATGCATTTGAATGACTAAGACATATTCTAAGCTTAGAAGTCATTAGCAATATCTTATGGGCCGCAACTTGATAGCAGTCCTTTAGTTCTTGTATAATTTTTAGAGGTCTTAAAAAAATAACAGAACTTGTATATCTAAAAATTGTCTCGAATTTGCAATATCTCAAAAACCACACAATCAATCTAAAAATACGAATAATCATTACTTGTATCAGGTATATGATTTTTTGCAATATTATCGATAAATTACTTGGAGTTACACCATACTTGTAAGTACGACATTCATTATGAAATCATGGTACGATTATAACATAAAGAAATCGATTTTTATAATGATGCTATACTTTATATAACATTAAAAAAAATAAGTTCTACAATCCCAACCATTATTGTTTGTAAATTCACACAATTTTGGGTCTATTTCTTATTTTTCAAATATTACTATATTAAACTGTACCCATTAAAATTGTAGTTGCTGCATTTAGTATCATAATATTTTTCTCGTTTATTTTTGTTTTAATTGCGTTATTTTAATCAGCTTTATTACCCAAGCTTTTTATGCTACGAAAATATGCTTAAGAAAATTCATAAAATATCAAGTGAAAAGTACAAACATTGCTATGGAATCATCACTAAAAAATTAACTGATTAAATTATGAGTATGCCAAAGGTTTGAAAAAGCATCTGTACATACATTTACTATCCTGCGATTTCAGAAAGTTTGGAAAAATTCAATTAATAAAAAAGTACACACTTACGTCTTCGTTTCCAAACCATCTAAAGGCAGCACACAATGGATCATTTCTTAATTTCTGCATAAATATTGACTTGAGGCTAAGAGTTAATGGCTGTTCAACGATAATAAAGAAATTTGTTGTTATTCCAAATGTGTGCATGTAAGATGGACTAAATATCCATCGAGGTAGTACAGTAGCCACAATTTCTGCTTGATCAAACATGGAAAGTTTTTTTATCTTTGTTCCATTATCTAAAAAAAAAAAATAATAATAAAACAATACAATTATGTTTTAAAAAAGCGATTTTGCATAACAAGCAATGTCATCATTTCAATGTGCACCTTCTGAGAACTTGCTTGGAGGAAATCGTACGATTGAATAAGCTGGACCTCTACTGGTAGTAGTCATTCCCAAGTTATATACAGTACCATCTCTCATTACATGCGGATGAGACGTATGACTAACTATATTGACATACTTTGCTAAATTAACCTAAAAAATTTTTACTTTATACTTTTAATAGTTATAATGATTTTCGAAAATTTATTGCAAACGTATCATGATATACAGTCAATGGTATTTATTTTACTGTACTTCATGCTCATAAGAAAAATTGAAAGTTTGGTTCATTTATAAGAGCACAATTTATTTTTCTATTTCATGTTGTACTCATATAGTTTTAAAAGGAAGATAGAAAAATTTTTTTAAGTAAAAACTTATTCTGCATACAAATTTTTATCTCAAAGCAATGTGTCACATGTATTAAGATTACCTGTTATAAAAAATTCACTTAACACCTATTCACGGATTCCTAAGAGACACAATATTATTACTCTAAGACAAGTGTTATAACAAAAAAATTAAATTTCATGAAACGTAACCATATATTTTGTAACATGAATGACACGCGTTGTGTCATGTTAAATATTGCGTGTTATCTTTTGCTAAGCTTTGGCATACGTTAACTAATGGTCTAATTAGAGCCAAACATAAGCTATGAAAACAACCCAAACTTTAGTTTTTTCCTAAACAATGATTGACTCAAGCTGGGCTAATATTAATATAACCCTTGCGATACAAAAAACACTGCAGTTGATCTTTACAAATTGTTACGTTCAAGCAAAAAATGCTTGACGAACGCGGGGATCTTAATATCAATTGTTCGGGAATTACTGAGGATCAATAAATTGTTGAGTGGTAGTAGTTTAAATAGCATTTATTTAATAGCGTATGTATTTACAATAGTGGTTAGTGGAGTTCAGAGCGCAATTGATGTTGGCTCTTTGCTTGTTGAGACGTATCTGATTTATTACAATAATAGCGGAGACAATAACTAAAACTAACTATAAAAATATACACTGTAGTCGTAATATAAGTCAGAGTAGGAAAAGAGAAGATAAGAAAATATAAGTTCTGAAATTAAAGTATGTATAAATGTAAAGTGAAAGTTATAAAATTGATAAGTGTTACTTTTAGATGATAAAGCAAAGATAAAGTTATTACAATTCCAGGAAATATAACTATTGCATTTAACGTATTGTGCTAAAGAAAATTAGAAAATTAAAAGAGAATTAAAAGTTCACGATTGGCGTGAACATACCGCCCGCCATTTTATTATGAAAAAATAAAATTATGATGCGTCGATGTTCTGGCGAAATTCGATGATAGAGTTGATGGCAGCTTAGATGGCCCGATCGGCCCGGATAAAATCCAACCCAATGCAGTCTGCTGAGCGATGGGTGCATCGGGACGCTGTGGTTGACGAAGACCTGGTCGTATTATTTGGGCGTACACTGCAGCGCCTAGTAGCAGTTCAATTGGTTCACTAGATGGTGAATCCAAACGGTCGGCAAGCTGCAGGTCGCGTAGATGAGGCCATCCGTCGATAGGCCGATGCACTCGAGGTTGATATGACGTGACCGCCTTGAGCAGAAGCACATCCACATCGAGAGAGTAGGGAGCACATCGAGACTTGATGGTGATCCTGCTTCGGTCAAGGGCAGCTGTAGGATGAACACCACCCACTCCATCAATTGATACACAAGCAGGGCTGCGTGGAAGCTGCAGTGAGTTGGCCAAGCGTTGCGTCAGGAACGAGCACTGTGATCCTTGATCGATCAACGCTCAAACACAATGTTCCTGGCCATCCGCCCCCACCAGACTGACCCATGCTGTGGGTAGCAATGTTGGCGCAAAAGATGTTGTTTCGCTTACCAAAACGTTGAGAGGCTCGTCGCATCGAATCGTCACAGAAGAATTCGCAGAGACTACAGCTACATGTGTGTTTGTTGAGGCGTCAACGTGTGTGGACGTGTGGTGCTTAGCCCCACAAACAAAACAAGTCCTCTTGGAGTGACAGGTTGAAACTTCGTGAGAGCCCAAGCAGTTCTCACATAACTGCTTCTCAAGCACGAATTCCCTCCTTTGCATTGGATTCCTGGCTTTGAAGGCTTCGCGAGTCCACAGCTGATGTCGCAAGGAGCAGAGAGAACATACCGGCACCTTCGATCTGTATGATGCCTGGTGCGCATGCATGCCTATTGACCGCTGCCCTTTCCCGTTGCTCGAGGCTACGCTTGACAGCGTCAGGATGCGTTCCTCGAGATACTCAGTCAGCTGACTGAATGCAGCCGGCTCTCTCGAAGTTCCGAGCGATTTTTCCCAATCGCGACGTGTTACGGCGTCCAGTCTATTTGCAAGGATATAAACTAAGACGTCGTCTGAAATTGTTGGCCGTTTAAGATTTTTAAGGCCTTCGACAAGATTTTTGGCGGTTGAAAGGATCCGACGGAGGTCTGCCGCATCCTCACCACTGACACACTTCATCAAGAAGAAGCCTTTTAATAGTGCATCAACTTGCACGCGTGGCACCTCAAATGCATCCTTCAGCGCGTCCCAAGTCCGTTGAAAATTGTCACCCTCGAGAGAGATGCCGCGGACGAGCTCAGCTGCGTCTCCGGCCAGACTCGATTTTAAATAAAACAACTTTTCAACGTTGTTTAATAACGAGCTGGAAGAAACGCCAGAAATAAACAAGTCACGAAACTCTGGCCACAACTTGTAGTCACCCGTGAAGGTCGGCAACTTGATCTCGGGCAGTTTGCGCGAAGATGACGTAGGTGCTGACGGAGCTTGAGAAGACGATGCGGCAGTCGGAAGTATCGGCGCAGGATAAGTCTCGAGAAGCGACAGCATAGTGGCAAGGGCAGTCAGATAAAATTCCTCGGTTTTTGCGTAGACATCGTTTTTGATATAATCCTGCTCGCTTAGATTTTCTTGTAGGCTAAGAAGAGTAAGATGATTGTTTTTGAATTCCTTCCAATTCGTATCCAGGCTATCCATACGAACTGTGATAACGGCGTTAGAATAATTTGCTGTGCCCAACTTAGTAAGGTTTGCCAAAGCATTTTTTATAGCGTTTTGAAGGTTTTCCTGGCGTGCGAGTAATGCATCAGCCGAACTTGCCATGCCGCCCGCCGTGCTAGAACGTTACACAAAATCAAAAGTTCACGGCACTGACTGGCACACAAACACGATGGTCACTGCACTTAGCGTATATTGTGTTAGTTTTTAACAGTCAAATGTCACTCTCGCAATCCCGAACCACGCTCTGCTACCAAAATGTTACGTTCAAGCAAAAAATGCTTGACGAACGCGGGGATCTTAATATCGATTGTTCGGGAATTACTGAGGATCAATAAACTGTTGAGTGGTAGTAGTTTAAATAGCGTTTATTTAATAGCGTATGTATTTACAATAGCGGTTAGCGGAGCTCAGAGCGCAATTGATGTTGGCTCTTTGCTTGTTGAGACGTATCTGGTTTATTACAATAATAGCGGAGAGAATAACTAAAGTTAACTATACAAATATACACTGTAGTCGTCATATGAGTCAGAGTAGAAAAAGAGATAAGATAAGAAAATATAAGTTCTGAAATTAAAGTATGTATAAATGTAAAGTGAAAGTTATAAAATTGATAAGTGTTACTTTTAGATGATAAAGCAAAGATAAAGTTATTACAATTCCAGGAAATATAACTATTGCATTTAACGTATTGTGCTAAAGAAAATTAGAAAATTAAAAGAGAATCAAAAGTTCCCGATTGGCGTGAACACAAATATAATAATGACTAAAATTGATCAAAATTATATTAAGAAAAAAACCAGTGGATAGTAGGTATTTGTGTACTTAAGAATGAAGTTATACTTCTATGAAATTATATGTCAGACAATATAATTATTGGCCAGGTGCATGTCATGCAGCGCCACTCTAGGTGTCAAAATCATGCAACCGCGGGTACCCACATTGTACGTCAACAGCATACACCGATGCACACTTTTAGTAATAATCAATTAATTATCAAAAAATTAGAATATCTATTCATCTGATAATAGATATTATCATAAAAACAGGCTTTAGGAATATCACACACTCGATTTGTTTTAACTCTGAAGCCTTAAAAAAAGGTAAACAGTTGGTTGAAAGTAGTTATGCGTGCGATGTTGCAGAATTTTAAAATGATGGAGTTAGCACTTTAACAAGTGCCGTCGTAATCAGGCAGACCTTGGTTGACTCCAGCTCTCTACAAAGTTTACCTGCATGTACGTTTTATTTAGATTATTTTAAAAATTGTCTAAGTTGCAATGCACATAAAAATTACCTTTATTTACAGTTGGATAATCATCGAAATTTATGTAGTTTTACTCCATGTGTCTTTGCGCTACTGTGACACAGAACAACACAGCACTTTCTTACACCCATATTTCATAAACGTTTAAATAATAGAAATCACAATGGTCATGCCTTATTTCGCTTATTTATCTTTCTCTCTGCCGTCTGCTACTGAGAGTGTGTCTGGATCGAAAACTAACGAGACTTCATTAATATATTGTTACATTCAAACATTTTACAACCGTTCTTGGCACCAGATAGTTCATTTTTTTACATTTAAGTAACTGCAATTTCATAATATTTATACTATTTATGCATACATGATAATAACATCTGTAAATTCGACGAAATACTGTTATTCCTTCCTTAATTAAGCAAAAATAACAGTAATTTGGTACCCCAGGTTGCCTGTTTTTACCACTACGCACGCTGGCGTCGACTCATCCATCCCCTCCCATCACTTTCACCTGGCCAATAAGTATAAATATACCTTCTCTGAAACGATACTGTGTACGAAGGTGGTGTATTTACCGTGGAAATGAGTATACATACGTAGATAAGGTATAGTTTCGAATAATATTTTAATATTTAATACATTAACAGTTGTACACAGTATATAATGGTACAATAAAATGTTAAAAATATATAGGCTGACCAGTATAAGACTGTGCGCTTCCATCAAATCTTTCTTTGATTTCATAACAACTTTCTACTGCTTACGCTGATTACAGCTCTAACGTCATGCTCACATTTGTCATATATGCTCATACAGTTATTTCTAGTCCACAGTGAATACCCAAAATATAATTGTGTTTAAAAAA